ACCAAATAATATATTTATTTATTGACTTCATCTATACCCCGCCTTTCTCCCCAATGGAGACCCAAAGCAGTTTTTGTCATTCTTCTCCGTTTTATCCTCACAATGACCCTGCGAGGTAGGCTAGGCTGAGAGTGGGTGACTGGTCCCAGGTCACCCAGCAAGCATTCGTGGTAGAGGGAGGATTGGAACTCTGCATCTTCCTAATCTAGTCCAATACTCTAACCACTCTACAACACTCCATGGCAGAACAGGGATTTGAACCTGGGTCTTCCCGATCTGAGTCTGACTCTCTAAAGCGCCAGTCCACACTGGCTGTCCCGCACGACTTACATTGCAAAGACTTACATCGCAAAGAGTAGATCCCCATATTTTTTTAAACTCTTTCAGGAGCGAACCCTTACCTGATCGTCAGCTGTGAGAATGCAAAGGTTCGCTCTCCGGTGCAGCAGGGAACCGTCAATGCTGTTTTCAACACTCAAGCCATTTTCTATCGAAGGAATGTTAAGCATCCTATTGTGGTCCAGGTAAGAGAGACGGACGCGTTCTGGGTTTGCCCCCGGCATTGGGGTTTATCTGCCAGCTGCGTGTCATTGACTGGCATGGGGCCGTCTGTAGTTCTCTTGGGAGCATCCCTGGCCTTGTAGTGTCGCTACGGAAGACTGTACAAAATCCACCCTCCCCCCCCCACCCGGAATTCTTACACGGAGGCCTGGAAGGATGGCTGCCAATTCATCATCCAGCCGTCTGTACCTAATCTGGCATTTTGGCCCTCTACACGTTTGTCTGTTTTATTATTTATTAAAACCCCCTCATGGATCACTGCCTTGTCGTGGCGAGGGGGCTTGCGCAGTTCAATGAAGCTGTGGGCTATGCCGTGAAGGGCCACCCAAGACGGACAGGCCACAGCAGAGAACTCAGACCAAGCGTGATCCACCTGGAGAAGGAAATGGCAACCCACTCCAGTATTTTTGCCAAGAGGTTGCCGTTGCCTGCCTCCATGTCACGCCCCCTGGTATTCCTTAGAGGTCTCCCTTCCAAACACTGGCCAGGGGCAACCCTGCTTAGCTCCGGATGAGATTGGGCCAGCCTGGGTGAAATATACTGGGTTCAGACACGCTTGAGTGATCAGCTCATCGTTTATTAGTCATAACAGCTCAAACTAAAGACACCTCAGCAGGACCAGAGCTCTTCTTACAGGGGCTACTGTAAGTTCTTGGAGGATTGGCTACATTAGGGGTGTGTCGCCTAATATGCAAAGGAGTTCCTGCTACAAAAGGAGCCCTGGACAACGCCGTTGATTTTTTTTATGCCGAAAGCTGTGTGCTAAGTTTTAATTGGATTTTTTTTAATGCTGGTTTTGGTATTGTACTGTTCTGTTGTTCACCACCCCAAGCCCCATTCTGGGGGAGGGGCAGGATAGAAATCTAATAAAATAAATAGAATAATTAAATACTGTTTTCATTCCCTAAAGGCCTGTGTTGCTAATGATTCAAATGCATGTAAACTTGAGCTGTTTCACACGCGTCTATTGAGGAAGCCTTTTTTTAGTCGAAGTCCATGCGGATGATATGCAGAACCCAGAGAATCCTCAAGAACAAAGCAGCTTCCAAATCCGGTGTTGTGTACTAAACTGAACCTCGTCAGACCCAGCTTGGAGTCAAAGAACAATAGACTGCTAGGACAGTCCAGTGGCACCTTTAAGACCAGGAGGAGACATGTGCCATAGAAGACTTGTCTGTGTTAGGAATGCCAGCCTCCTAGTGTGTTGTGTATATAATGTAATGTAATGAATGCAAGAGCTTG